TGCGTGGAGTCGATTCATTCTACTTGACGCAAGTTTTCGTTCTTACGGTCTTGCATCTTTGCTCGACCGGAATTTCTTGTTGCTGCTAGTATCGTGAAAGATCGGGCCGACGAACGACTCGCCATCTAGTCGAGTCTACATCATTCTCCTTCTGCTCCTCACGGATGCACCGCCACTCGCCGTCCTTCTCCTTGGCGGCAAGGTTCGCCGCGACTGCCTGCTGGAACACGAGGTCTTCGAGCTTCTCGTGGTGGCGCCGATGCTCCGCCTCCTCGCATAAGCTGTGTTCGGCAATGGCGGCCGCGACCGCGTCGACATCGGCGACGAAGTCCTAGGGCCCGCCGCCGCCGCGGCGCACGATCTCCTCGGGCTCCTTCGGCTCCTCCGACCACTCCCTCTTCACGAGGAGAAGCCTCGCGCCGGAAGAGGAAGAGCTCGCCGCGCGGGTGAGCCACGCGGCAGATCTCGAGCCCGCGGCGGAGGACCCCGCGGCCTGCTGATGGTCGTACTCCTCCCTCTCGCGACGGAGGAACCTTGACAGCCTCGGTTCGTCCACTTCTTGGCCCCGCGCTTCCTCGCGCCGTCCGAGCGGACACGACGCTCGCGCTCGGGGTCGCGGCGACCGCCGGAGCCGCAGCCGAAACTCCACATGGCGTTTCGAGGCGGATGCGGGCTCGCCGGTGGCGAGAAATGCGAGGGGGCAGTGGGGAATCGATGTGGGACACGACGGCGGAGGGGTAGGGTTTCGACCCGTATGGGCGGTTTGCGGGCCACGGTAAAAAAATTTATGCGCTGGAATACGGGCTCTGTTCTGACCAGAAAATTGGACCGAGCCCGTATACTCGTCGGACTTATGCGGGTTTGCGAGATTTGCGGAGTCTGCTAGAGATGCTCTGAGGCGAGAGGGCACTCCCTGAACCCATGGGCATATGCACCCATTTTTCAAAAAGATGCATTTTAAGCATGTTTTAAAATATCAAAAAATTCAAAAGAAAATATCACGCATATATGTTCGCAAATATGTGTACATGGCACAAAGTTTTGTGAAAAATGTTTTTTTGTCTTCATAAAAAAGACAAATTTCAGTGCTTCTAAATAGTGTTTCATGATATAATTTTTTTTGTCTTTTTTGCACAGATCACAAATAAAGTTATTTTTTCGTGAAACTTTATGCACGCACATAGAACAGGGGAACGCACCTGTGTAACTTTTTTCAGATTTTTATAGTAGTTAGAAATGTGTTTTTTAAAATGAATTTATATGTACCCGGATTTATCCATGCACTTTTCGCTCCGAGGCAGCCTTTCTCAGACCTGGACATGACGATCGACAAAAGTGTAGGGCCACGTGGAAGTCAACCCGCCTCCTCGTCTCATGGAGTCATGGTGCATTTGAAAGGAAAAAAATGATCTTCAACGCCAGGGCTAGCTATGTGTCGAGGACCTGGCTGCTCGCGGGACTGGCCCCGAGGATTCGCATGCATGATGCATGGTTGACGAAAAAGCAGCCTTAGGCTGATTCTCATTGACGAAGGGGGAGGAACCAATTACAAGGAACTGAGGCCTCTTTTGGTTCACACGATATGATTATTATAGGAATATGAATTTTGTAGGAAATGAGATGACATGTATCTCAAATTCTATGAGTAGGAATAGGAAACAAGATGTCATTTGGTTGACACCAAAGGAATTTTTTCATTGAGTCTAGGCTTTTTTTTATTTTCCTATAAAATGTGAAGGATAGGAACCAATCCTATGTAGGAATAGGAATCCATTTCTATGAACCAAAGGGCTCTAAAGGAAAAAATCCTATAAGAATCCTATTCTCTAGAATTTCTATGAAATTCCTCTAAACCAAAAGAGGCCTGAAATTAAAGAAGAGAAAAAAGAAAAGAGAAAGGCGACAGGCATGGTACCGGGGTCACGCCTATGCACACTGGCCTCAGTCCACATATCACAGCGGCTCAACGAAGCTGGCCATCTACCATCATGCATGCGAATCCTCTACCATCATCATGCATTAGCACATTCTAAATGAGTTTTAAATAACAGACATTTAATTGTGACATGCACCGTAAGCCACTATCTATTTTTTTCTAGTCATGCAACTATGCCACGTAAGCAAGCCATGCGTGTAAATTATAAGTTGCAATTTTGCATTAATATATCCATACAATGCTTTCATGCCACATATCAGTTCATGTATGTAAGTCTTCAGTTAATTTTTGCACTAAGTTTTGTGTTCTCATGGTATATGTGTTGGGTGCTTGGAGCACGCATGCCTATATAGTTGATGCTTCATTTTTTTAGGAATGACACTCTTTTAACTGAATCTATTTTTTTTATCTTTTATACATCATTTTGTCATGTGCTTCATTTTTTTATGTTTTAAAGTGTAAGTCTAGAATGGGTGTGGCTAGCTCTTATCTAGATGAGAATTAACTAAGTCTAATCTAACACCTATACCGTTTGATTTCACTCAGAGATTCATGCAGATTCTTTTATCTTTATTTTTTTATTAATCAAATGGTGTAGGAGTTAGTTGAGACTTTGTTAATTCTCATTCTAATTGAGAATACTCTTACATTCCAATTTAGGTATTTATGAGCACCTAATTATGCATTTCTTTTAACAAGATTACCGCAACAACGTGCAGGGTATCATCTAGTTTCATAGATGGATAGGCAACGAAGCCAACATAACAATTAGGTATACAAGCTAGAAATGCTCTAGCTAGCGATCATTCTAAAGTCTACTCATCTTCCTACCGACGTCGACAACAATGGGCCCAAGACCTCGAAATGACTACTATGCCGTGCAAACCAACTTTTCACCATTGCCCACCCCCGCTCACCCCCTCCCGTTGAACGACGTGGACAATGGCACGTGAAGACACATTGTTCCGATGGCCTAGGTACACTAGAACATGAGGATGACAGCCGTCCAAAGGTCTTTCTCCTTGCGATGCGACGGCGCTAAGTTGGTTCACTAGTCCAAGAGCTTTGAAGCTGTGGTCGGCATGAAAGTTGCAAGGTTCCACCACCCAAGCACCTCAAGCCATGCCGATCTAGACACCACACAGCTAAGGAGCAGATGTTGCTAGGTCATCGGCTCCTGATCACACAATGAGCAACAGGGGGTGGGAGCGGGGTGTGAAGTCCACACTTCAACAGACAACCATCCAACACCTATTGTTGGCAGGCAACCAAGCGAAGAACCTGCATGAGGCTAGTGCACGCGATCACTAAGATCTCTCAGTAGTCGAAGTAGACACCGAAACCCACCTAAAATGAAACATAGGCTAATCTAAAGGAATAGACCTCCACTGGGTTCCTGGTTCAATTAGATGGAGCCACCCCCTTGGCCAAGGTGAATGGTGCTGACTAGCTCCGAGAGCTGCAAAACTCGTCAATCTCTACCCGCGCCAAGTTCGGGGAAATTCGATGACCCAAGCACCCAACATGCTATCGCCCACCGTACGTAACCACAAGGCCCTAAAACATATCTTGGCAACAGCGAGTGGGGAGCAATCCACATACCTTCCAGGATGAGTCCACTTGTCTATCCAGAAGAAGGGCCTAGCACCGTCACGATCGAACGCCTGAGTAGTTGGCTCGAATATGGCTCACGATTCCAAAGGAACTTGGATGTTGAATTTGGCCCACGGCTTAGTCGAATCCACCGTGTAAGCCAAAGTCACTCGATGCATAACACGTTGTTAAGTTGGCAAAGGTTGGGGAGGCCGAGGTCACCAGCCAATCTAGGGGTGTACACTTCGCTCCACGCGATCACACAATAACGGCCATTGATATCTTTCCACCCTTTCCATAGGAATGCATGGTAGATACTGGTGAAGCATATGGTGGTCTTGGGAGTTAGATCTAGTGACATTATTGAGTAGATCGGCATCACTATTAGAGTGAATCTCGCAAGAACAAGACGGCCACCCTTGTGCATGGGAGAAACTCTCCACGGAATGAGTTTGTTGACCACCTTATCCACCAAGATAAAAAGGTGCGGCCTGCAGTCAACGAGTGCGCCACATATTTTTATCTAAACCTAGTTGTAACATTACATACGGGTATATTTGGCCAACCGTGTGCCATAAAAATTTAGCATCTCACAGACATTTGTATTTATCAACCCGCGTGATGTAAAGTTTAACGCCACATGCATTTGTATTTATTAACCCGTGTGATGCAAAGTTGGCATCACACATAGGTGGTGTTTGGTTCTCTAGTCCTAGGACTTTTTCTAGTTCCGCTAGACTTTTTGAAAAAGACTCTCAAGAAGGTGCTTCTAAGGACTTTTAGCAAAAAGTCCCAAAAAAATCTCACCTTGTTTGGTTTGCTAGGGACTTTTTCTAGTCCCAACACAAAAAAGTCTTTGAAACCAAACGCCCCCCATAGTTATTTTCGTCGTGTGTTTTGAGGCACCCCAGCACACCACACTGCTTCAGTGGAAGTTGGATTGCCTAGTCGATTTTGAGTTCGACGTCTAACTTGCATTTGTTTACTTGGACTTCTATTTGAAACTACTCCTCATCCGAGGTGGAATTATTTGGTGTTGTTCAAAGAAATGCTTCAAATTCGTTTGGTTTGGGTTCGACCCCGATCGATAGTCTGAGTTCTGTGCGACGCTTTCCCACGCCGGCCGTGTGTGATTTTTTTTCTCCTTGTGCGATGCAGAAATCTGCACCAGTGTGATAAATGCATGGGCATGGGCACGGGCCTTACTATTAGGAGGTCAAGCATTTCTAGGGCAAATTAGTGCACAAATGCTACACTCTTTGCGTTTGCTTTGCCCCAGCTAGCACACCACATGCACTTGCATGCAGCTCCATGGATGGAATCTCGATTCTCATCACACACCATCATCACACTATAAATACATGGCTCGGCACTTTGCATCCATCACAAGAAGGAAAAGAAGAGAGCAGACACGCGCGCGCGCTTACACGCTACACATATACACATTGTTTCCTAGCTAGAACCTAGATACATGGCGACAATGGCGGTTAAGGTGTGGGTGGTGGCAATGATGCTGGTTGTGCACTGCTTCGACGTAGGGCTTGGAGCTGGAGGCGACGGCCTGTGCCTGGGCTCGCCCGACTACGGCGACGCGCTAGCCAAGGCCATCCTCTTCTTCGAGGGGCAGCGGTCGGGGCGGCTGCCGGCTAACCAGAGAGTCAGTTGGCGCGGCAACTCCGCGCTCGCCGACGGCCGACCTGAAAACGTATGGTCTCTTATAGTTAACTTATGATCATGAGCCACTGCTCCCCTCCTACGTTTGAATATGTTTGTTTAATCTAGATATGAGTTTTCTCTTCAGCACATGCAAAACGAAAGCGGACCATGTTTTGGCACACTATATGGATCCAGTGTGAAATATATACTTGAGGCAATTAATCAATGGAATCAATGAAATTTGAAATAGTGATATATTAATAGTGGAATGGCGATCACAGGTTAACCTGACGGGTGGGTACTACGACGCCGGCGACAACGTCAAGTTCGGGTTCCCGATGGCCTTCACGGTGACCCTGCTGAGCTGGAGCGCCATCGAGTTCCGTGGCGACGTCGCGGCGGCGGGGCAGCTGGGCAACCTCGGGGCCGCCATCCATTGGGGCGCTGATTTCCTGCTCCGCGCGCACACATCTCCCACCACCCTCTATACCCAGGTCTGGTTGGTTTTTCTACCAATTTAACGTTCAAAGAAAAAGCACATCAATGAAACCATGAGATGGACTAGATTTATCTTTGTTGTTGTTGCCTTAAGGTGGGGGACGGGAACGCCGACCACGGGTGCTGGGAGCGGCCGGAGGACATGGACACGCCGAGGACCCTGTACAAGGTCACCGCGGACTCGCCCGGGTCGGAGGCCGCCGGCGAGGCGGCTGCGGCGCTCGCGGCGGCCTACCTAGTGCTCAAGGAAGACGGCGACAAGGCGTTCGCCTCGCGGCTCCTGGCCGCGTCCAAATCGGTACGCACGAAGCATGCATGTGCTGTTGTTTCTCGTTAGTTAAGTTGATGAAGGAATCACGATAACGGTTTTGGTTTTTTTGGCTTGGTCAGCTCTTTGAGTTGGCCAACAATTACAGGGGATCCTTCCAGTCGTCCTGCCCCTTCTACTGCTCCTACTCCGGCTTTCAGGATGAGCTGCTCTGGGCCTCGGCGTGGCTCTACCGGGCGACCAAGGACGGCAAGTACCTCGACTTCCTGCGCCAGAACCAGGGCTCCAGCAACCCGGTCAACGAGTTCAGCTGGGACAACAAGCAGGTTGGAGCCCAGATGCTCGCAACACAGGTGGGTCGCACTCGCACAACGATTCATGCATGCCTCCATGGATTCACGCAAAGTCCATTACCGATGTACCATCTCTGATTGATTTCAGGAGTATTTGAAAGGAAGGAGAGAGCTAGACAGGTACAAGGCCAACCTGGACTCCTTCGTCTGCGCCCTCATGCCTGACAGCGGCAATACGCAGATACGCACAACTCGTGGTACGTTACGTCCCTCCCTGCCTCACTCCGAACTCTGAAGAACATCCCGCCCAAAACCTCTCATCTTCTCCACACGACCGGTGCTTGCCGCAGGAGGGCTCCTCTTCACACGCGATTCAGTGAACATGCAGTACACCACCACGGCGGCCCTCGTGCTCTCCATCTACGCCAAGACGCTCGAGTCCTGGGGCGTCTCCGACGGCGTCCGCTGCAGCGCCGCGAGCTTCTCCCCGGACCAGATCGCCTCGTTCGCCGCGTCGCAGGTCGACTACATCCTGGGGAGCAACCCGATGGGCATGTCGTACATGGCGGGCTTCGGCGGCGCCTTCCCGCGGCGCATCCACCACCGCGCCGCCTCCATCCCCTCCATCAAGGTGCTCACCCGGACGGTCCCCTGCAACGAGGGCTTCTCCTCCTGGCTGCCCACCAGCGACCCCAACCCGAACGTCCATGTCGGCGCCATCGTCGGAGGGCCCGACGAGAACGACCAGTTCGGGGACAACAGGGGGGACTCGGCGCACTCCGAGCCGGCCACCTACATCAACGCCGCCTTCGTGGGCGCCTGTGCTGCTGCCATGGGGCAGAGCCAGAAGCCTGCGTCGCCGACTTTGGCTTCTTACTAGTAGTAGACCACAAAGATATGCGCACTCGATACAACTGGTACTACTATGCTCTGTTGCTAAATTTTCACGTGTGTAATGTACTTGTGACATATGCATTCGCTACCAGTACTCTGTACTTGTTCGTGATCGCCGTACTATATATGTTTGTAATGTAACAAGACATAAAAATACAGTACCAAGTTTATATCAGCGCAGGATTCTTCTCCCCAAGTTTGCAACTCAGTTCCTCTCCCTAACTATAACCAGACTTAGGCCCTCCACTATATACTCCCTTCGGTTCTTTTTACTCTGCATATTAGGTTTGACCGAAGTCAATTTCATCCAACTTTGATCAAGTTTATACAAAAAATTATAAACATTCACATAACAACACCAATATCATTAGACTCATCTTGGAATATATTTTTATATTATATTTATTACATATTATAGATGCTAATAATTTCTAATATAAATTTGGTCAAACTTAGCAAAGCTTGACTTTCGGCAAATCCAATGTGCAGAGTAAAAAGGACCGGAGGGAGTAGACCAAAACCAATGTCAAATTCATTTCTAGTCTTTGGGCACTGATGCCCTACACAACGCAACCGGAGCCAAAAAGAATTTCTGGGCAGCTAGCTCGAAGGGCACTGGCAGCTAGATCAGTAGACTTGTTTGTCAATTCCTTTATACGGAGTGGCTGTGGAGCTGGTGTCATAATTTTTTTCAGGCATCAGTGATGATGTGGCACCTTTTTGACCAGCGAGCACGGCTTGGAGGAGAATCTTCCTCCTCGGAGCCTGCAGACCATCCACTGCCCACCCGCAGCGCCGGCGGAAGCACGTCTTGTCCTGTATTTCATTTTGTGTCATCTATTTGCACATGTCATGAATGTGTTGCATTTGTCCTTGCACAAAGTTTTTTTTTTTTTGCGAATTCTTGCAGAAAGTCATTGAGAGGTTGAACAAGCAAGGTGTCATTTATAAACCAATGAAGGCAGAAATTTCTGGCATTGATGTTTATGTGGACGAAAGTGCTGAGAGAGACAAGGGTCGTTTTCCAAAAAAAAAAATCAACCTCGGTAACCTAAGGAAACATTGGAGTTATCTATCAGGTACAGATTAACGGCTTCAACTGTCATGGGCAAGATTCTGTCCCTAGATGCACCAGCTCGTGAGCATCTAGTACATCGAGAAATGATTCTCTGTAATTACAACATTCTGGTGCAGTAAGAACTTAAATTATGGATCTCATTAAGTTCATGAGACAGAACCATTGAACATTTCTTATTAGTGCATTTGATCAACATGAAGATTGACCCTCTCTGGGAGCGTCAGAACAGTACAGTAGTTTGAATCAGCCGAGAGATCAATTTACACAAGAAGCAGTACATTTGTTATTCTATCCCGACTCTGAGAGGGTCCGTGCATATATGGCGAGTGGTTAAATGATCTATAAGATGAAGGTATGATCATTCCCAGCTGAGTATCCTTCAAGCCAGGTCTTGTGGATGTGTGTCAGTTCCAAGCCCTCTGAAGTCTCAGGCTGCGAGTTCAGGCAGTTGGGTAGTTCAGCATAAACTGTGCGCAAAAGATTCTATACAACCGCACGGTGCGCAAGAATTTCAGGGGGGGAACGGGAATTTACCTTTGTATTCAGCAGAAGAGTTGTCCGGCAGCAATATTGCACATCGCCTGAGTGTGACAGAAGCATTAACATCGACACACAAATCAATGAGATGACACAAGATGAGTAATTGTGGCGCATCCCAAGATTACGGAAAGGGCTCGTTACAATTGAAAAATGATGTCAATAAGGTTTGAACAAACTGATAACTGATGGCGTGGAATAACTTCAGTATGTGAAGAGTTTTTCGAGTATACCTTCCATTTCCCAGTTGTCAAACCTCACCAACCAGTTACTTGTACCGATCGGCGATGTAAAAAGTCGGTCCACCCATGCTCGGAACTTTTGGCCTTGTTTGTCAGCATAACATGAACTCAGTGCATCAATGGATGCATGAAGTGACCGCTCCATTCCACAAGGATGTATCAGTGTACCATTCTGGAGCTATCCAAAATAGACGATTGATCTAAAGTAAGCTCAAAAAACAACCAAAATTTGGTCCTCGGAAATCATAAATGGGTCCAGATCCCAGTTCAAACATGCAGCATTGGGATCAGTAATGTTAAAAGGAATTGTGTACAAAAGAAATGGCATATTAAAAAAGAAAATGGTATGAACAAACATTAAACGGGTTAATCTAAGAGTTCGACAAGGAAATGTACTTACAGTAATGCTTTTCAAGTATTGTATAACTGATGGAGACTTCTGAACCTCACCCCTCCGCCACTTCTCGTAAAGAACATAGAATTTCACCACCACATCTGCAGGCTTGATGGTGTCTACCTTCGGATATGGGAATTCAAGATCTCTTACAGAAAAACTAGGCCCTAGTTTGAAGTGACCGATAGCTTGCATGATACTGGAAGCGCATCTCTCAGTTGCATGAAGCAACTTAAGGTTATCTTTTCCATTCTCTTCATACCACTGAAGAAGCTCCTCTTGGGCATTGCTAACCTGAATATGGTTCCAAAACTCTGTAATAAGCTTATATAGTAATCATCGTCAACAATGAAATACACTGAAACCAAGCAACTGCTTATACACTGACCATGACACCATAGGCAGATGGAACGCTGAATAAATCTGCATCATTGCCAGAGTCACCACACACAAGAACATTGCTTGGTGGTTTTCCGCTCAAACTGAACTTCTCGAGTAAATATATAAGAGCTTGCCCTTTCCCTGCACCTCGTGGCAATACATCTAGGGCCTCTCCGCTACTATAGATTATCTTCACATCTAGCTGATCACAGAAAGAAAGCAATGAAGTCAATAAAACACCGCTAAGCAATACTTGATCTTAACAAAACCCTGTCAAAAAGAACAGAGAAAGAGAAGGTCACCAAGGCCTGCCTTGTCTTACCCCAAGCTGTTCCAGTTTTTGAGGAAGATAATTAATCACTTCATGAGCACCCTGCTTGTCGACGAAGAAGCTGACCTTATGAGGACCCTGATTCCTCTCTGGCTGCAACGCACAAAGACAAAGTAACATAAATATCTTAGTTCAGCTAGTAGTAAAATTTGAAAAAATCCAGGAAAAACTAGACAGGCAACTCATTGGACATGCCTGTGGCTTTAGATGAGGGAACTTAGCTGTCTCCTGAACAACAATATCCCTATCCCACTTGTTATTCAGAAATTCCTCCCAGCCAACATCAGGAGTCATCTCCTGGCCATATGCTATCACAGTGCCCACAGACATGATGGTGATGTCCGGTGTGAGCAAAGGCTTTCTTTCCCTCAGACCCTTGTAACTGACCGGCGTTCTTCCAGTTGAGAACACCAGCAGAGAATCCTGGGAGTACTCAGACTCCCAGAGCGCCTCGAAACGGAGCAAGGCCGAGTTCTCTGGATCACAGTGATCAACCTGCAAGTGCACAATCCAAAAAGTCAAACATTGTTCAGACACAACAGTCCAGGTTCCTTCTTTCTGGGCAAACCAAAGGATCGAACTGAGATACCCACCATCGTCTGGTCAAGATCCGAAACGATCATAAGGCGGGCAGAGCCATCTAGCCTATCCATTCTTCCTTGCCGCGGAGAAGCTGAAGAAGTCCCTGCAGAGCAATAGTGCTGCAGAGGCTGGTGAGAAGTTTGATGCGTCTGCCTGGACACTTCTCTGAAACAACAAGTATTTCTCCTGCTTTTATACTGTTCCTCGGTCATCTGCTGGTAGGGTCTTTATTTTTTGTAAAAGGAAATAATAGCTCCAGATAAATTTTTAAACTATAGCACACGAGAAGCTGTCAGCAGCAGGTGAGAGCAAGACAGCGAACCAAGACAAGCAGGACAAGTATTTCTCCTGCTTTTTTAAAACTAAATAAACTATTTCATCGGTCATCCGTCGGTAAGGTCTGTTTTATTCATATACACGAGAAAATAATGGCTACAGATTACTTAAAGAACTATGGCAAACAAGAAACGGGCAGCAGCAGCCTAGCAAATGAGAGCAAGACAGGGGACCCAAACATCCACGGTTTATCCACACAAGAAAACAAGCAAGAGCGTGACTTTACTGGTAAGAACAAATTTCCAGGAGAAATCGTTGTGGATAGAGTGTCCAGCCAATCATCTAGCACGGCACGATTGACATCGATCAGATTTGGCGCAGGGAAATGTACAAGTACAACGCACTCGACAGAACCACGCGAGTATGGAATGGTCCGCCGGCCAAACACCTTGAATGCATGATGGTTTCAGGGAGGACCGGAGGGAGAGGAGGAACGCACAAGGTGGCGGATGAGTTGTAGGGCAGGCAGGTACAGTAGCTCCTACCTCGCCTGCGCGGCGTGCGGCTGGCGGCCCGGCTCGTCGTCGGAGGAGGAGCCGAGGAGGATGTGAGGCGGCGGGGTGGGGAGATGCGGATGACGACGACCAAGACCGGGAGCGGGGAGCCGAGTAGTACAAGTGGAGTGCGGAATGTGGGATGTGGAATGCGACGAAGCTTCCGTTTGAGATGACTTTTGCCGCTTTCTTGGTCGATGAAATCCGCGAGGGAACACCCTTTTGACAGAGCACAACAAAGGGGGTCTCAGGACTCTCAACAACAATAGAAAAATGGCCCCATGATATGCGGGGTCAACTTTTTTTTGAAGGAAAACGGTAGGAAATCTTCACGCCGCACGTATTTTACTATCAGCCAAAAGTGTGCAGTGGAAAAAACAGAAAAACGACAGGATGTCGCAAGTGGCCACTGGACAATGGCGCGACTTCTCATTTTGGCTCGATGCACGGCCATGCCCAATTTTTCAGCAATCTTTTCTTAATTGGTTCAAACATTGCGGTATATAGGTTGTTAAATTGATTCTACAGCTGATTTATTTGACTTTGAATCGGACTAGGTGATCGGCTGCTCATTAGCTTGTCGTAAAATCACTACGACGGGACCCTTTTGA